TTTCATAACATTACATTTTTCACAATTATGACTTTAAAGTCACACATTTCCCTTCCTAGACACGGAACTAACATTCATTTCACAATCTCAATAAATATTGGGGGCATAACGAGGATCTTTCCTGCAATGAAGATATAAGGGAGTGTTGCAAATCAAATTTTTGTAAGAGAATTTGAATAATTGGGGGATAATAGGAGTGAATGGAAGAAGAAGAAGAAATAAAGGGAATCATTGAAATAATTATATCATACATTAATTACATTGTTTTCATGTAATTAAGGTTAATCCTGAATACTCGTCCCCCTGGGGATACCTCTTTTACAAAGACTTTCGTGTATGAGATGATGAATGGCTTTGTTTCATTTATCCTTTCAAATATATATATATCACTTGTTGTCCCCTTCTGAACTTATAGTATTGTTTCTTATGATGCAACTCTAACCAAGGATCACCCTCCACACTAGGGGGAAAAGGTGAAAGACATCTGCTCGCATGGGTGAAGATAATCAATCCAGATTTCACTAGAGAAACAAGTCATGATAAAATAAAGTGAGAAATAACATGATACCGTAAGGTGTACCAAATACAAGCGCTGAAGGATCAAATCGAGTTGATAACACGAAGAGGAAAAAGAAGAAAAGATATAGAAAAAAACACACGAAAAGAAAGGAAAAGAGAGAGAAAAGAAAGGAAAATAGAGAGAAAAGAAAACAAAAGAGATAGAAAAGAAAAGAAAGAAGAGAAAAAGAGGAACAAAAATAAAAGAAAAAGAAAAAAGAAATAAAGAATAAGAACAAGAAAGAAAACAGATCAAACACTTCAAGACGAGAGGTTCAAAGATCTAGAATCAATTTGTAAGAAGATCAGAGAACACCAAAAGAAAATAAAATAAAAGATACACGAGAATATTCATGTCGAGAAAGACAAGATTGAAGATAGAAGAACGAATCGATCATTGATTTCAATAACCCTTAAACACTTATTTTGGCCTTTTTATCCATTTCTTTCATAACCGTGAACCTTAGCCTACGTTACATGCCTAAAACGTCTCTTCTAATCATACATGGATTTCTAAGTGGAGAGACTATCTTCAGATTTCATTCCGCCGCTCAGGGTTAATTTTATTTGCAAAAATTAGTTTTCTAAAATTTTTAATGCATGGCAGGGAAAAATAATAAAAGGAGGGTTCAAGACGTAAACTTTTAGACGACTTCTTGAAACCAAAGGAGAATTCAAGTAAAAACCTGAAAGGTAGCTCGAACATGAAGATTGTCAACCACTGCATAGAATACGATCTTATACATTTTGATACAGCACTACACAACCTAGAGGAGATCGCGAGGGCTGGGAACTAGTGAACATTTCCAGAATAGAAGCATAACTGCTATTTCATCATATCAATAAACACAAAAAATCAAGGATACAAGATTTCAACCAAAGAAGCCAACCCTGAAACACATTACCTTTCCAAGTCAGCCTAATCTTTATATCAGCATTAATCTTTACACTTTTAAAATGTATATAATTTTTGTAGGATTAAAAGAAAATTTGATTTATTTGATATTCAATGAACTCTTGTTTTACAATTTGTTTTGATTGTGAGCCGGAAGAAAATGATAGCACTTTTGAAATTTATTCAAAAAAAAATTCACATTTCTAAAATAAAAGAAAGAAGAGAAATATTTTCAAACATGAAAATCTCAAGTGGAAAAGGGTCTTTGAAGCTAGTGAGGCTCATTCTGCCTCAATTAGAGAAGAAGAACAAATGATGCTAGAATAATAAAGCATTTCTTGAAAGCAAATAGTACAAGAGATCAGAAGGACTGGAGGATAGGACTTCTAACATTTCCTTGTAACATTGTCAATAGTCCATCAAGAAGCAGATGATCGCCTTAGTTGAAAGTGACATATGTCTCAGTTCATGGCAAAGATTCAAGACATTTCTGTTAGAAGAATTGATCACTTCTGAAGTGTCCATCTGATTATGGTGTCATGAAGAGAAGCCCTCAAGCAATTCGATACTATTGATGATTAGTGACACAAGAGTGAGACCATTCGAGATTAAAAGTTTGGCACAAAGAGAGCCATGAGTACCCACATTGGGCCATTACCAAAACCAGATATTGTTAAGATCACAAGATTTAAATCATGCAGATGTGGCAGATGACCCTCACCGTTTGGAGTGCACAAGGCAGGAAGATGAAAACAAAAAGAGCTTACCTTGAATTAAACTATTCCCGTTTTAGTTAGCAAAGGTCTCTCGAGAGATAATTATGATTGAAAAGTCAAGTCAAAGACGTGTAAGGTGTCTAGTCATCTACCTGATCGTAACAAGAATTCAAGAGATGAAGAACTTCTTCTAGAATTATGTTAAAGAAGCAAGACAACTGATAGAATATAGGAGAAACATGATTGTTCTAGATGATTAGTTTGACCACATTGATATTGGGGGCAGACTCCATACAAGAGTGATCAATAGAAGGAGGATCGAGATCTTCATTTTGAAGTCAAAAGAGGATTACTGATAAACATTTATGCATAAAATAAATTCATGCATTACAATTATATATATATATATATATATATATATATATATATATATATATATATATATATATATTGCATTCATATTTCATGCATCAAGGCAATTTTATAGATTGTTCAAGAAAAGAGAAGAGCGAAAGAAGAATATTTGAGCCTCTAACGAAGGAAATTTTGTTCAAAGTGACTAAGCCTCAAAGATTGATGATTCCAATAAAGAATAATCATTACTCTGATGTGGGGGCACGTTACCCAAACGACATGATGTTTTCAAAATATTTTTTTAAAGAAATAAAGTCTGATTTTCAGAGGCTCCTTGATAGGATGTTTTCAAATAAACTTTTAAAAGAAGCTAAGCCTAATTTTTAGAGGCTTCTTGATGTTTGTAAATGAGTTTTTAGAAACTAAGGCTGATTTTCAAGGGTACCTTGATGATTATTTCCAAAGAATTTTTAAATAAGCAAAGCCTAATTTTTAGGGGTTTCTTGATATTTTCAAATGAGTTTTTAGAAAATAAGTTTGAATTTCAGGGTTTTCTTGATGATGATTACTAATGAATTTTTAAAAGAAATTAAGCCTATTTTTAGGGGGTTCTTGATGTTTTTAAATGAGTTTTTATAAACTAAGCCTAATTTTTAGGGGTTTCTTGATGAAAACTGAAAACGAAAGATTTTAAGAAACTATCCTTCATTTTCAAGGGTTTCTTGTTGAGTAAGTCATTTGGGTCATCAATAAGTCTTTCGAGCATGATGATTACATCCTTCATGTCATCTATAAGTCTTTCGAGTAAGATGATAAGTCATTCGGGCTATCCATAAGACTTTCGGGCAGGATGCTTTCAACATTTCCTTTGTTCGATTCACATTATTTCGAATCAGCGATGCCTCACTTGAAGGATAAACATCTCGCTTGAGATAGTTTCACTCGAAACAGAAGACCATCATCTCTCTTGAGATAGTTTCACTCGAAACAGAAGATTTATCTTGCTTGAGATAGTTTCATTTGAAACAAAAGATTTATCTCGCTTGAGATAGTTTCATTCGAAAGAGAGGATTTTTATCTCACTTGAGATAGTTTCACTCGAAACAGAAGATTTTTGTCTCGCTTGAGATAGTTTCACTCGAATCAAAAGATTTTTATCTCGCTTGAGATAGTTTCACCCGAAACATAAGATTTTTGTCTCGCTTGAGATAGTTTCACTCGAATCAGAAGATTTTTATCTCGCTTGAGATAGTTTCAAACGAAACAAAAGATTTTATTTAGCTTGAGATATTTTCACTCGAAACAGAAGATTTATCTCGCTTGAGATAGTTTCACTTGAAACAGAAGATTTATCTCGCTTGAGATTGTTTCACTTGAAACAGAAGATTTTTATCTCGCTTGAGATAGTTTCACTCGAAACAACAGATTTTATATCGCTTGATATAGTTTCGTTCGAAACAGATATTTTATATCTCTTAAGATATTTTCGCTCGAAAAAGAATATTTTATCTCGCTTAAGATAGTTTCGCTCGAAACAGAAGATTTTATCTTGCTTGAGCTAGTTTCACTCGAAACATAAGATTTATCTCAATTGAGATTGTTTTCCTTAAAGAAAACTATGCCTCACTCGAGGGATTAACATTTCGTTTGCTCGATTCATAACACTTCAAATCAGTAACGCCTCACTTGAAGGATCAACATTTCCTTTGCTCGATTCACAACACTTCGAATCAGCGACGCCTCACATGAGGGACCAACATTTCCAGAAGAGGATTCATGAGAAGAACTTATTCAATCTTGGCTCGATTCACAACACTTCGAATCAGCGACGCCTCACATGAGGGACTAACATTTCCAGTAGAGAACTCATAATGAAGAGCTTGTTTCATTTGCTCGATTCACGACATTTCAAATCAACAATGCTCACTAGAGGGATCAACATTTACAGTAGGAAGATCACGATGAGAAGAACCCGTGACTTGAAGAGAAGAGATCGTGTAAACAATGATGCTATATTATGTTTTCTTTATTCACGTTTCATAGCAATGAGCAAAGAGGAGCAGCTGTGAGCACTATTTTAACTGGACCCGAGACCAAACCCCCAAGCTCGTTTACAAGACCCAACCCGGATCAGGACCCGACCTGGTAGCCACCCAAAAACTCAATTAGTAGCTTTCGCCCCAATCCCTAATCAAAGGAACCTATTCTCTACCCCAACACCGGCCAAAACTGCTCCAGCACTCCAGTGCAAAAACAAGCAAGCAACCAACCAAAATTCAATGATTTCAATTTTATGTAAAAAGGGGTATAAAACCCATGCATGAACAATGGAAAAATGGTTATGGGCACTTCCAAAGAAACACTAAAAAATTGTAATCTTTTCGCAGCTTTAATAGAGGCATTTCAAGGAATTTGTTTTCAAGTTTGATTAAATTTTATTCTTTTATCCTTTAATTTCGAAACAACAAGAAGAAGAGATGAGGAAATTATCTCTCGGTCGAGCCTCTCATTGGCGATTGGGGCTTATACTGCCCAATCCGGACAGTGAGGATAAGCATACGAGGGATGAGCGCAACATATCTCGGAGCCAGCTCGATCCAATGGTGGACAGCGGTGGTAAAAGCATCGAAGATCCGGCAGGTCTCGACCCTCTTTCATTGCGATATAAGCTGATTTCGTGAAACGGAGCCTCGATTCGTGACCACCGGATGAGACAAATGAGCCTTGAAATTTTGGTGGCCAACGACCATCGTGACGACGGCGATCGACGACAGACCGGAGGAGGAACGACCACTGGCATTGGCCGAATTTCTAGAGAGAGTGGAGACCTTCTCTCTCTAAAAAAATAAAAAAAATGAAAAATGAAATTTTTTTAAAAAAAGAAAAAGTTTGTATTTATAGAAAAATTTCAGGGTAAATCACATTTTAAGTCCCCTAAATTCTCTCGTGTTTTTACAAAATGGTTACTCGAAGGGCATTTTTTATAATTTTTCCCATTTTATATGCATTGTATTTTTTGGTAAAATATCATTCAAGGTCCCCCAAACTTTGTCATGTTTTTGCAAAATAGTCACCTTTAGGGATTGTTTTCATAATTTTCCTATTTTACTATATGCTTTGTATTTTTTGGTAAAATATCATTCCAGATCCCCAAACTTTACTGTGTTTATTGTAAAATAGCCACTTTTAGAGATTGTTTTCATAATTTTTCCATTTTACTGTATGTTTCGTATTTTTTGGTAAAATATCATTCTTGGTCCCCAAAACTTTTGTGTTTTTTGCATTTTGGTCACTAGACCTTTCGTTTCTAATTTATTGCAATTTTATCATTCTGTTTTGTTTTATTTTAACTTAGTCATTGTTAATTTCTTATTTAGCTATTGTTATTTTAATTTTTTTATTTTGGTCACTATTTGTTTCTTATTTAACTACTAACTTTTATTTTCATGCATTTTAGTTAATATTATTTTATTTTATGCAATTAGGTCGTACTTATGTTTATTTATTTTTTATTTTATGTTGTTTTTACTGTTTTTATTTTTATTATTGTTATTTTATTTTTTTAAATTAGGTTATTAATTGTTTTAATTATTCATAGTTTTAATTCTTATATTTAATTTAAAATTAGATTAATACTCGAATCAAACTTAGAATTTAGGATGACACACTAGTTTAATTAGGGAGCAATTTGAGTCGAGTTTTCGCATAAAATGTCCGATTACTTGAATCGATTGCTCGATTTTTTAAAATTTATTAATAATTAATATTTAAAAATACTTTAGGTTTAATAATTTAGATAATAGGCTTTTTTGGTTATTATTTAGTCAACTTTAGAAATTATTGATTTAGGTCCTAAGATTTAGATATTTTAGAAAATTGTATTTTTAGGTCTCGACCTTTTAATCCCCGAATTTCGATTAGAGTTTAATATTGACATAATTAAATAGGTTAAATAGAGCCTCTACTTTAGGTTAGATTTCAATCTAGTCCTTTAAATTTAGGAAGTAATTCGAGTTGGCCCTCGCCTAAATACTCGAGGGACCATCTCGGTTATTTGATTCAATAACTGATTTAAAAATCGAATAGGATAAATATTAGAGCCTACATTTAGGTTTAATCCCCTAGGTTCCTTAATTTTCATAATTTGACACTTTAATCTTGAAAAATCCTTAATTTACCTTAGCTTAATTAGGATTAATAAAAATTTGTTTGATTGCATTTTATTTTCAAACCTAAGGCAATGTTCATTTAGTAGGGAATTAATGGCACATCTCTCACAAGCATGCTCTGGGGGTGACTACTAGTGACTCCCGAAATGGGTCGACATTTTTTTCAAAGACCGCATCATGTTTTTTAAAATCGAGGCAATATTCGGTTATCAATCACAATAGCTGATCTCCTATGTTTATGATAGGGGTGAATGCTATCGGCTTTAATAAAATTGGTTTTTTTATAAAAATAAAATATTCGGTTATCAATCACAATAGTCGATTTATGGATTTTCGCATACCTTAAAACTTGGTATTTTTTATAAAAATAATTTTTTTTTGTTAAAATACCAAATTTTCATGGTGTCACAATCGCACCTTAAATGATTGGTGACGACTCCTTACATTTCGAAAAACCTTTTTAAAGATATAATCTCCGAGTCGGTATCGGTCTTTTTCCCACCCAGGCGAAAAACGATGTCGACATATTTATTCCTTAAAATAATAATTAAAGAAAATAACGATTTCTTGATTTAGTTTGTGGAATTGATTTTTTTCTTAATTTCTAAATTGTTTAAATTTTCAAATCCCTCGAAATTAAGGGATAATGTGTACTTATCATGTTTAAATTTATATCTTTTTAGATGTTATAATATTTATTATGTCTATTAAATTAAAATTCAATAGACAGAAATATATATAAACTGATGTTTAAATAAATTATTCAAAAAAGAAAATAAAAATAATACTTTTTAGCGAATAAGCATATAAGTGTAAAATTCAAATATTCGACCGTTGAACAAGGGAATCGATACCCCTTAGGGGAATCGGTTCCCTCCGAGCATTTTATTTTTCTCAGAGCCAAACCATTCAGGGGGAATCGGTATCCCCTTGGGAGGGAATCGGTTCCCTCTGAGCAATCTGGAATTTTTGGCTTTGAAATGGTTCGAAATATTTTGTAAACTTGTTTTGAAATTATTTTAAGTTTAAAACTTAATTTTACACTTGAGTAAAGATTAAAAATCACATTTGAAAGATTTGGAGTAATATTTTGATATTCGAATAATTATATCGAATATACTTAAAAATTTTTTTTGAAAAATCTTAAAATTCGTTTATTTTAATTTGTTATATCGAAATATCAAAATGTTTTAAACACTTCCCTTTCGGGTTACGACGATGCCATCCAACAAGACCCATCTTGGCTAGCTCACATCGCCATTGTTGTCAGCCTCTCGAAAGCCCGCCATATGGAAGCTTACGTCTCTAACCTCACCCGCCAAGCCAACCCACGAGCCAGCGTCGCCTTACGCGACTATTTTTCGAACATGGACAATGCCGAGGACGAAATCGATAGCTCGTTGACGGAAATGCGACGGCTAGTGGTTTTGGGTTCGGAGCCTTTCAAGTTACAAATGGGGAACCTTCAAACGTGGATGAGCGCGGCTTTGATGGAGGAGAAGACGTCCACGGACGGGTTCGAGGATGTGGTGGAGCGACCATTGAAGACGGCAGTATGTAAAAGGGCGATGAAAATACTGAAGAAGCTTACGAGCAATGCTTTGGCGTTGGTTAATAGTTATGAAGAAAAGGTGCAAATTAATCAGTAAAAAAAGAAAAGTAAATTTTCTGATGAAGTAAATACGTGGAAATTATTGCTAAAGGGTTTATTTTACTTTCTTAAGCATCGAGTTAACTTAAAAAATAATATACTCTTTGTCCCATTAAAATTAATTAATATGGATGAGATAGAATCAAGTTCAAATTAGTTGTTCTAAAAATGGGAGGGCATGAACAAAATTAGATGCCCATGTTTTGGGTAAGTATTTTGATATTTTTATGATTTAGTCACTGATTTCATTATTCATTCAATTTCTCCTTCATTTTAAGTCCATTTTTTTACCAAATTTGAACCACAAGCTCCTAAACCATTGTAGAATACATATGTACTTTCAATTTATCGTTTTGATAACAAATTTTCTATTTTCCAATTTAGTCCCTCAATTTTTCATAATTTTCTTATTTATTCAATTCATGCTTTATTTTAAGCCAATGTTTTAACAAATTTAAACCATATCCTCATATATCATAGTAGAATAACTTCAATTCTTGTTTTTTCACAAAAAAAATACTCACTTTTATTCAGTCCCTTAACTTTGCATTTTTCTCAATTTAGTCTTTTGACTACAATGGTTTGCAAATTTTTTTCTTCCCATCAATTCCTAGGTCCTTTATACTTTTATCCATATTTTACTCTCAACATACTTTCTTTAAAATGTAATGTTATGAATATATTTTATAAGTTTAGATTGTATTTGATGTATTAAATAACATTATAATGTGAAAAGAATATAAAATATATAGAAAATCGAATAACTTGAATCGAATTTCTTAAACACGATTCAACTCAAATATTTCAAGTTAAGTTTGAGTTATAAAATAAGACTCATCGACTCGAATAACTCAAATATTTTTTACTCGACTCGATCGAACGCTCATCCTAGCTACGGGGAGAATCAAAACAAAATTTATAAGCAAATATATTTGATGGTACACTTGATGATTCTTTGTCTATACTAGATTCATGGAAAGTTCACTCATAGCCTTTAATATCCAAAATCTATCACCCCTCTGCATATCAACAATATAATTATTAAGTTGATCATTAAGGCCAAGTCTATCAACAATTATAAATTCATCGAGATATAATTCAACAAGTCTAAGTATCACTTGTTTGTCAAAGAAGAAAACATATCAAGTGGACTCAAAGAAGCCATTCAAGTCAATAATTGTATACCAACCTCATCAAATATGTTGTTAAATCTTATCAAATATGTTGTTAAATCTTGAAGTAGAATATCAATAACTTCCAAGAACACTTTAATTCAAAAATGATGAATATTACTAGTATCCAAACGAAAACGTTTCTTCTTCACAGAGGAGAATACACAACGTTCATATCAATAATATCAATGTTATTCTTATTACAAATAAAGTGGTTATAGCGGGGAAATCACTTGTTTCCCTTATGTTTTGGAATATTTATTTAGTTAAAATGACAAGAGACTTAACATTGACAATATTTTATCTTTTATGTGTAAAGTTTTGTTTAATTAATTCACAATATCAAATATTATCTTCATTAAGTGAATTATGAAAATGAAATCAATGACTCCATTATAAAACTCACGTCATAAGCTTTTCGAGCATCATCATCATTTTGAGCATAATTACCAATCAAATGAAGAACCTTATATTGAGAATATAAATCAATTACATTTAAAATCAATTTATAATCAAATCCCCTAATTTGTATCACCTTGCCTACCTAGACTATTGGTTTATATCTTTTCTATCTACAATGTCACCATTTTCAAAAGCTTTTGTAACTTTTTCAACTTGTTTTTCTTTAAGCAGTTTTTTTCGTGTAACGGCCTGAAGTATATGTTAGTAATTTCAGGTTAACCAGAGTGATTTATGGATGGATGTAATGGACATTCATGAATATTTGGACCAATTTTGGCCTTGTTTGGGATATTTATATTTAGGATCAAAGGATGAGGGACCAAGGAAGTGGTTTACTCGTTGTAAGAACTAAGTACTGCAAAATAAATAAATTAGCGCTTACAAGTACAATAAACGAAATAACAATATGAAAGTGTTACTGCATCGTGGTAGTCCGCTTCCTTAGAAGCGAATTTGCCCCGACTGGTGTAATCGTAAAAACGAACGATCGGTCCCCCAAGGTTAACATAGTACTCATTGTTTCGTACACCCAAAATAGGAAGTTGGAATTCAGTTGATTGCTCTTTTTGAAGGTTGGATAATATAGGAAAAAGGTTGGAAGATAATCAATTTCAATAGACTAACAAAGTTTCAAAAAAAAATATTAAAAGAAATTGAAAGCTTAAGCTTTATGAAACGAAAGGCAAGCAAGAGAAGGAAGTTACTTGTGAATTAGATTATTAAGAATGAAAATGAGCCTCATTTATATAGGCTTCAATGAGGAGTAAATTAGAAAGAAATGCGAAAAAGGAAACCCAATATTTTTTTGTCTATAATCTTGCCCATCACTAGTGTTTCTCCAACAAACCCTAACAAAATACAACTAAATTTTGAAAAGGTAAAACCTTTAATGGTTTACTATATTTTTATTATTTACAACCCACAAGTGCAAATAAGTAGATATATCTGGAAAAAGGTTTGGAAACAAGAAAAGAGCAATGTGAAATTATTGGTACTATATTAAAGTTATTTAAGCATGTTTTAAGCCTTATTTGTGACCCCTCTAAGATCATATGAGACTTAATAATCATTGAGAAACCTCAAGGTAAAGAAATTGGGGGGTTTAAGTGGCTTTCCGAAACTACAAAGGGCATTCTCGAACATGAGTATCAGTACTATATAAGTTAGTACCGATATTGTTTTTCAGAAGTATGAAATTATGCTTAGGTTGAAGAGAGTATTGATACTCTCAGAAGGAGTATCAATACTACAGGATTGGTATCGATACTCCTGGGGTGGTATCGATACTCGAAAAACATTTCAAATTCCATAATTCCATTTTGGTATTGATACCCTAGTCAGTATCGATACAATAGCATAAGAGTATCGATATTGGTATGGGAGTATTAATACTAACCTTCAGTTCTTAGTAAAGTTTTACCTTGAGTATCGATACCCAAGAAGAAGTATCAATGCTCTAGATTCAATATCAATACCAATATGCTTGGTATCGATACTAGCAGTCAAGTTTTGAGGGTTTTAATTATAGGGAGTTAAGATGATATGAGTTTTCCCAAAAGCTTTAATTACTCTCAAATAAGACTACAAGTGAGAATAGTAATAATGTTTAATTCAAACGTAGAAACAAAATAAAGTAGGGCGAATAAAACTAGCCTTGTTTGAATACTCGGGAAACGATCAGGACACCCGAGTTCCTTTAGAAAACTAGCGGTTTCAAAGTATAGAATCAATCCAGATATCCTTAGGGAGTGCGCAAGGCACTTTAAGCTAACTAACTAAAGCCAAGGTCAGACACTTGTAAGGGGTGGGTTTGTTGAAGGTGTGGTGTCCGATAAAGAGATTTCGGAGGGGCCATCCTCGGTAGACTAGAGGGTGTGTAAGGTCCGAGATGCAGAACCCTCAGTCATATCATGATTTCTACCATAGAGTAATGAGTGAGTATACAATTATACTCATTAAAGCAAAGTAGCAAACTTGATAGCTTGAGCCATTCAGTGATACACTTTTAGTATGTTTCAATTGTTAATGTGGCAATGAGCTAATTAGCTCATCGTTTGGAATTTGTTTCCTTACGTAGATTAGGTGGAGAAGTTGAGGATCTTAGAGCGTCCGAAGTCCAAACCTAGAGCATATCAAAGTATGTCTCAGCGTGTTGAAGGGCATGTATAGTTATAAACTCTGCTGTAAAGTTGAGTCATAAATATATTTTAAGGTCATCTGTATACTTTTTTTTATGTAAATATTTATTTTGGGAGCTCTCTCAATGTAAAGTTTTCAATTATATTTATGGTTGATATTATTGCGAAAAAGGTTAGTAAAATGGTCGTTTTAAAGTAAGAGAAAAAAGAAAAAAATTGGTCAGCCACTTTGGTGGTTCTATGTGATACCCTAATTGGTCGACTGCGTGTTGTACTGGTCTAGGGTATTATAGAAGTATCCATCAAATTAACAATAAACCATTCGACTCAAAAGAAAGAAAACCCTCCAGGCGTTATACTCTCACAAAAATAGCTCCGATAACAGCAGTTCGCAGACATCTATGGAATACATGAGATACATCTTCCATAGCAAAGTTACAATCGGGCAGTTACCAACATCCGTAAAATGGCGGCGCACTCGGTGAGCTTTAGTCATTAGCTTTCTGGAATAAGCGAGCCAGAGAAGGACTTTGATCTTTTGCAAACCTTGGAAGTCGTTCATTAACCTCCAAATTCGGGGGTCATTAGCAACAGCTGGGCCAGATCGAATACGATACATAGACTTGACTGAAAAATGTAGATCCGGGTTCGCTTTCCAGCCAACAACATCACCTGTGAACCAAGCATCAGGCCCCGAACCGCTGCAATTCTAAGGAGAATATGCATCGGGAGAAGGTGCTAGAAACGCTCCCAATCTCACAGCCCATTACCAGTCCTCATATCAGCCACACGTTCACTACCGATAGCATGTACGAGATGCGAAGGAACATAGGTTATCAACGGATCCACCCCAAACAACCATCTATCACGCCAAAACTCAGTCGAGTTCCCGTTTCCTACACCGTGAGTAACATTGTCGCATTCATTACTCCAAACCATGCAGATGCAACTCAGGAGCAATTCTTACGTAAAGGTTGTTCAGGAATCAGATCTTTGTATTTATATTTTGCGCATCAAACCCAGAGAGCTTCCTTATTTGCAATAAGATTGAATGCAAGCTTCATAATGAAAGATTCATTCTGAGTATGAATGTCCTGAAATCCAAGGCCTCCCTGAGATGACGGTCGATACAAGTCCTCCCACCGTACCAACGTTTCACTCTTACCATCAGACGAAATTCCCCACACAAATCGTTTAATTAAACGTTCACTTTCATCACTGGTCTTT